AACACCGCGGGCCGCGCCAGGCTACCAACAACCGTATCCACAGCAACTGCCGCTTAACTACAAGGCCCCGCAACCTGTGGAGGTCTACGTCATGGCCGACCATGCAAACGCCAGTATACCGCTTGAGATCCGCGAGCAGTTCCAGCGTGACGAAAAGGGCCGTATCTTGTTCTTCACCGCGCCGCCGCTCAACGTGGAACAGCCGCTGACTAAGGATGGGCGCGCATTGGGACACTCGGCTCGTTATCTCGCTGCTAAGGCAAAGAAGGAAGCTCTGAAGGCTTCGAAGCGTAAAGCTGGCGAGGTCAATGTCGATGAGCGTGACCAGGCAGCGAAAAAAGCCAAGGTTGATGAGGAGGCAAAGTTCAAGAAAGCTGTCTCGGAACTCGGTACGAAAGCACTAAAGGCATTGGAGGACCAGCTCGCCATCGCTACGAAGACGGATCTGGAGGGTCTTTTCAACGGCCAGACTGAAGAAGGCATCTCCGCGGTTCTGGATCAGCTCACCACCGCGCAGAAGATGGCCGTGCAGCGGGAATTGGAGCGTGAGATACACATCAAGGAGCGCGAGGAAAGTAGGATGACAGCAGTCACCGGTATGACGGCGAGATTGGAGGAGAAGTACTAAGGTACTGTGTACGATCCATTGTATTTGTGATATCCAGTTCAAGGTTACCAAGAGACCACGGCGTTTTGATGCTTGATAGTGGTTCCGCCTCTACATGAGTCTATTCCGGGTATGCTTTGCTAGACTCAATTGGAACTTTTTTCTGTCTGGGCCATCACCAACTGGGCACCTGTAAGCCCTCACAGCTCCCGTCCGTGTAATCTCTTCACTCACTTTCGTCATAACACAGGGGCCTGGATCTTTTAAGAGCGCTATTGCTTTTATGTTGAGGCTCGACTAATTGAGAAACCTCGGGGATTTCGAGTGCTCACTCATTATAGCACCCAAAACGGACACACCAATGCAGCCAGTGTTCTACTTCCTTGAGTCTGGATGCCTTGCTTACCCGGGGCGCATCATCTCTCTCAATACATGCTGGTTCTCTCAAGCCCAAAATCAGCTTGACCTCATGCCCAACGTCGCTGCTTTGTCAGCCCGAGAGTCAGCTAGACTAAAATCCCCAGCGGTCATCAAAGACCTCAGTTTCGTATACCGCCCATAGATCGGTGCGCTCGAGATACTCTTTTCCGTGATCTCTTGCCTTCTCAAGCAAGAAACGACATTTGCCATACCCGTACGTTGTCGCAACTGAAATTGCCGAGGTTCTGTTCTTCCCAACAACTCTGGGGTCCGCGCCGTGGCTGAGTAGAAACTTGACATCTTTTTCGTACCCATCATTTGCGGCCTCCCACAGAATGTTGTTGCCGTCCTTCGTAATACTGTTAATCGATGCACCTTTGTTGATGAAAAGGCCGGCAATATCGTATCGCCGTCTCTTGAGGACATGCTGAAGTGGAGTCTTGTCCGAGCAGACTTTGTTGAGTTCCACGACACCATCTTCCAGTAGCATACTCCAGATCTTGATCCCACCTCTTCGGTATAGGCTCTCAAAGGATTGAGAATCTAGGCTGTAATACTTCTTGGTCCCTTTCTTGACGTGCGCCATAATCCCAGGGTTGTTGACCTCCAAAACGCGGTACAATAAAGCCGTGTTGTCGTACCTAGAGGCTTCGTTGACGAGCCAGTCGCCCAATTCGTCAGGCGCAAACGTGGAGAAGAACTTGTTTTCTTCTCGGAAATCGAACAACATATTTCCAGCGATGTTCTTATGCAGACGTATCGCCGTACACAACGCTCTGCCGATCTTCTTGGCGGCATTCCGCATGTCCTTCCATGAGCCGGAGTCGCGCTTGCCCTTGACGTTGTCCACGAGGTATTTGAGAATGCGCTCAAGCATGTTGAACTGATCTGCTGCAATTGCGGCTTTGAGTGCACTTGGCAGAAGATCATGGCTTTGCTTGAGAAGCAGGGCTGGTGTAAGAGTCGGGTTTTTGAAAAGCTTAATATCTCCTGAAGCGGCAGCAATAGCGGGCAACATATCTGCGAGCGGGACTGGCCATTTTTCTTTGTTGACAATATCAGTACCCTGGATATAGGCACGTAGGTATTTTGGCTCGACTGCCATGATGCTAACGCATATGATCATGGTCTGTCTAGATCGAAGTGTAGAATCAGGTTCGGAAGCCTTGACTATATCGCGGATGAAATGTATGACTTGGTTCCTCAGAGTCTCGGGACGCATAGCAGTCTCGTAGAGAACATCACTACCATGTTGTTCGAATAGGCGGGTGGATAGTCGGTCATCCAGGAACTTGGCGAGATCCTTTGGGGCAGCGGCCGCAACGATACGTTTCTTGATGATGTTTGCGAACGTTTCTGCTCGCTGTCAATATCTTCAAGCATTTGGCTCACTCATTGGACTTACTGCAGATGAGTCGATATCGTAGAAGACTCCGCTGCTCGACGTCCTCTGCAACAGCCGCCAGGACTTCCTCGAAGATCTCCAAGGGCAGATCTAACAACGGCATGCGGGGCTGTTGTCTGATGAGTATCAGTTGTAGAGGGATATGTAAAGAATTGCTCGGTGTTTGTTTTGTGAAAGATACTTGCTGAGGTGTCAAAGAAAACAATAGCTTTAGTTAGATGTGAAACGCCAGAGCAGTGGGTCAATCCGCCTTCACCTTCGGGTCTTGACTCTTACTTGATGATTCAGCCAGCAATCGCAACGATAGTACTAATGCGGCAGGTGAATACGTAGGTGAAGGTAGCTTTCCCGTCGGCGTGGTATCCGAATCCACCCGCTCTGTTCTACAGGATTAGCAAACCTAGAGAGACGTCTAGGTACAAATTGTGCTGCTCGCATGATCATGTCCTGACGATGATTTGTAGTCTCCTCGACATCGTGTGATTATGGTGGAATGTTAATGCAGAGCAGGGCAACAAAACGCGGTCTAGTAACTCTATATAGTAATCTTAATATAAGTATATTTCCTAAATACCTTATATTTGCTATAATATAGTAGTAGGTATTATTAATAAAACTCTTTTTATAATATTTACTATAAATATAGTACTTTAATAATAATAATAATATACTTATAAAAAGTAATAGTAAAAGAAGCTTCTCTAAAGAACTTAAAAGTAAACTTAGAAGTAGTAATAAGTAAGCTATAAAGCTATAGAGCTATTAAAATATTAATATTCTAGAAATATATATCTAGATAAGCTTTTAAAGCTAAGTAGATACTAATAGTAATAATAAACAGCTCTTATTAGTAGAAGAGCTAGAAGTTAGAAAGTAGTATAGTTTTAAATAAGAGCTTCTCTATTAGCTATAGAGTATAGTAGATAACTATAGTTATAATACTATTATAGAAGTTAATACTATAGTTTATCTCTAGACTACTATGCGTAGTATTTATATAAAAGGTCTATATCTACTTTCTATAAACTTATTCTCTTCTCTATTTTATATCTTTATCTACTTCTTAAAACTCTTCTTAAAAGCTTAATAACTATAACTATAACTATAATAATAAAAATAATAATAATATTATAATAGTCTATTAATATATTAGTTACCTTTACCTCTATTATTATATCTAATAATATAAGTATATAGTATCTAGCTTTTAAGTAGAGGTAGGTATAGCTATAAGCCTCTATAAAGAATTAGAAAATTTTCTAAAATAGCTTTTTTTCTATACTAGTTAATTTATAAAATACTTAGGTAGTATTAAATATAGTAAGAGATATAAGTCTAGCGTAGAGCTTTAATTCTAAGAATTCTACTATAATAGCTATAATTAACTTAATTAATAGCAAGCTTATAGTCTTAACTATAGTAGGTATTTATAGCTAGATATACTATAGTAACTATCTATTTAAAGTTTATATAATTATAACTAATTAGTTTAGAAAGCTTAAAACGCTACTTACTAACTTATAATAGTAAGGCTATATACTAAGCTTCTATAAAAGAAACTTCTTAAAGAAAGTAAGAAATACTAAGACTTTTAGCTAGAAGTAGATAGTGCTACTATATATAAGTAAGATATTAGATATAGACTTAAAGGCAAGATAGATTACTACTATAGTCTAGCTAGTAAAATAGTAAAAAAATAATCTTAAAAATAACCTAAGTATTATTATAAAGTTTAGACACCTACTATAAAAGAGCTAAAGACTTATTAGTATAGATAGAGAATAGGTAGGTAAGTAAGTAAGTAATAGTAAATATAGCTAATATAGCTAAGCTTAGGTATAATTACGTATAGAATATAGGTTACTAGTAATTATATAAGTAATTATATAGATATTATATAAGTATCTTAGATTAGTTTAGAGGCTTTATACTAGTATTAAGCTTACTAAGTTACTTTTTAGTATTAGTAGTTACGTAAGGCACGCTTTAATACTACTAGTTAATAATCTAAATAGCTATTAGTATTATATTATAAATATAAAGTAGTTAGCGTATTATAATTACGCGCGTAGTAATTATTATATTAGTAGTATAGTTATAAGTATTATAAGTTATAAATCTAGGCTTGCGTTAGAGATTTTTTAAGTTTAAATTTAAGGTCTAACGTAGTAACGCGTTATCGCGTAATTACGTAATTACGTAATCTTAGAAACAGTACACTGTAGGCCCTGTCCCTTAGGCCTGGGGGGGGGACATTGTGTGATATCATGGCAAACACCGACAGCACGTCAGCTGCTTATAGGCTCAACCTACTAATATGAGCGTATTCTTGTCAATGTGCATGCACGACGACCCGTATCACTTGCGAGATTCTTAAAACGCCACCACCTGCTTATTACCGTTTTCCGCTTGCCAGTTCAATGGCCGGAGATAGTTCATACCTCATGTTTACACCTTCCAGGGAGGGTAACCAGCCATACAACCCAGAGTGAGTTGAGCAGAACTAGCTCGCATCGTTTACTGACCATCAATAGCCCCACCAGCGATACCATTACTGTGAAAGTGGGGATGCCGAATTTCAACGATGGAAAGGACATCTTTACTGTTCAGAAATCCGTCCTTTACAACGATGATCAGTTCCGCGGCGGGTGTTGGATCAATAACGATAGGACAGTACATCTCAGAGCGAACCCCGAAGACTTCAAGACCTACATGACATGGCTGTACACCCGCCGGCTGCCGGAGCATATTGCGGACCCAAAGCTGGATACCGAGTCGAACCTGGACTGGCTGCCGACTTCATATGGTCTCGCGCGTAAAGTTGGTGATCCACGTTACCAAGACCTTCTGATCAGTCGAATGATCGAGTGCGCGCGAAGGATCGAAAGCTTCCCAAACATATCGTTCGTCGCAAGGTTATATGACGTGACAGAGGGTCTTGCGCATACGCCGGACATCCTTGGTCGAGATTTGATGGTAGATATCTGGACGTGGAAATGCCGACCTGAATGGCAGAGCCTAGACTTTCTCGAGACAGATTACATACAGTTCGCGATGGATCTGATTCCAGCGTTAATTGCTCATCGCAATGCATCACCAGAGGAGTTGGTGGAGCCATGGGCGAGCTCCCAGGCTGATCGGTATCTAGTTGGAGCAACTCAAGACGAATGAGGGTGAGAAGGCATTTTGTTAGAATAGGCTGCAACTTGGGGCAATTTCTTACCAGACCAGCGCGAGAATAAAGATGCAGCAGCTTACATCCTATCCTTGGCAGGAGTTTGCTTCGGCTGGATAGCACTATGACGTACAGCAGCGGCTTGGCAAACGCGTGAAGACGCGTCATCCCGCGATTACCCATCACGGGCTTCCATTCACCCACTTCAACGCATATGGTTCCGCGCATGAAGAGTCATATTTGCACCACTTGATGCTTCCGCAAATGTTGCGATGTGAAATCTCTCATTCGCTATCACCTTAGTGCTCACCTGGCGCAATCACAACGACCAGCATCGCTATTCCTACTCGAGGACCCTGCCGAACTCACGATACATGCGCCGGCCACTCCTTCGATCCTTCAGATGGCAGGATGCCGCCGAATCGTTCGGACATGTCGGCGTCCCACCAATCTACTGCGTCAAGTCTAGCAATACTGGCTCGCGAAGTTAGACAAGGGATGTGCAGTACTTCTAGCCTACGGCGGAGTTGCTGAAGTGGTGTTGTAATACGAGACGGACACTGGCTCGCAGCGACCATGGTACGCTTGCGCAACATCATGTCCACAATTCTGTCTCCTGGAAACCGTGTTGTGAACACCCAGGCAAGAACTTACCGTACGCGTTCCCAGGTAGGATGGCTTCCCCTGCAAAACGCCCAAAAACAGCTAATGTTCATAGTGGTCCTGAGTGAGTCTATAAAACTCTGGTAATGGCGTTAACTTACAAAAGATCAGCTTCACGGGCACAACGATCGCCGTCCAAGTCGAGGACGAGATTTTTCATATTCACCAGAAGCTGGCGTGTGCGACCTCAGACTTCTTCAAGAACGATGCCGGTATCGTCGCGATCGACGTCGAAAAGAAACCAATTCGCATCGACGGTCATACCGCCGCCACGTTCAGAACATACCTCACTTGGCTGTATACGAAGCAGATGGAACATATAACGGACATAAAGCATATGTGGCAAACCTTAGTGAGGGCCTTCCTCATAGGGATCAAGTTGCTCGATACCACGTTTCGTAATGCAGTCATATCAAGCATGACGCAGCGCGCGTGTGCCGGGAGATATCCAAGTCTCAGCCTGGTGAAGGAGGTCTATGTTGGAACATCCAAGGGGACTTTGATAAGGAATCTCCTGGTTGACATATGGGTTATAGCACGGCCAACTCTGTCGAACGAGCTACGCGACCCGGCAGCCGAAATGCACGGAGACTTCGTGAACGACCTACTATGGGCATTCTTCACGTCGCCACTATCCCGTTCGGCAGACGAGAAGCCGTGGCTCACTGATCCACATCGCTATCTTGAAGCTGTCAGTTAGACCGTGGTGGCTATACCGTCCAATCTTTAGAGGGGGATGACCGCCTTTGGCACTTCTTCCATTTCGTGACTGATGCGTTGGTTAGGGTAGGCGCACGCGTTGTCTTATCGCGTGATCGAATTTTACCGTTTGGAAGCTGCTATTTGACGGCAGCGTTAATGTTAACATCACAGTACACATCATAGTTCGACTCGGCTAAGGAGTCTCAGGTACCTTTCGGAACACTATCAGCCATCGTATGTAGTTATGTAGAAACATGGCTACTAGTATAGGATAAGCTATCATTCATCGATTGCAACGCTCCGTCAGAAACGTGTGATCCCAGCACACATAGTGATGCTACTGACAATGTGTTGAGTTATTGCGCCGCTCGATCGGCCTCTTCCAAAGCCTTGCCCGCGCTCATCTTGCCTAATATCTCAACTTCCGGCATAAGCGCTGGGCTCGCATCTTCGACGCCATCGGTGTTTCCATCCCACTTCAAGCGAACAAGAGACATGCCCTCGGGATCATCGGCATCCTCTTTCTCTGCGACCAAGATGATGTTTCGATGGACGGTAGGTCTGAAAGCACATTGTCGTGGATGCGCTCTACGAATATCGGCCCAAGGATCGCTTGAAGAATGCCAGTTCCCGAGCATCTGGAAGCGAGACTCTTCTGTCTTCTTCATCTTCGCCCATGATGGCTCGAGCATGGAGCTGATGGGTACGGCTATGCAGAGTTAGCTAACGTGCAAAGTCTTGTACATGAGCACATGCGTTAGGTACCTTTTTGTACCAAGCTATACCACCCGTACACTTTCTTGAGCGACGCATCCGAAGTGGCAGGCCCCTGCGTTGCCTTGTCATCTTTGTCGTCATCATCCGTATACGGGTCATCCCCACCCCACTCCTCAGCCTCCCGTTCCTTCAGATCGAACCAATCTTGGTTACCGATATCGATATTGGAACCCCATGAGTCCGCCTCGACATTGTTGCAACGTCCAACGCCCGGAACGTCTTCCTCGTCTTGGCTCGAGTTGAGCAAAACGACTAAGACTCCTTTGTTGTCGAAGTCCTTTTGGTCGGCTACAATGAAGTAGAGCGGATGAATGGTATCGTCTTGGTCGCGTAGCTCGATGAAGTAGTCATAAACGTCTCGCAACGAGCGACCGCTGAAATCTGGCTGTGGAGCGAATTTAGACCTCCCCGTACTGAGCTCGCCCGTGTTGATGCTTTCTTCAAGCCGTTGGCTGTCTGCTGTGTCTAGAGCAGCTGTGTAGAAGATGGCAAACTTGAAACGATTTAGACCATTCAGTGTGGCGCGGTGGTATTCTGTATTCGGCGCTTTCTTAGGGAGTGTTTTCGCGAGGTCCTTTGTGGAAGACATATTGTGTTGAGTGGTCTGATTGAGGGCAAAGAGTTGGTGTGGATGAGGTGGACGGGTAGATAGAAACCACGTCTCAGCCGTAGTTTCCAGCTGGGTCAGTTCAGGCAACTGCGAATGCGTGACGAGGAGCGCTATGATGGGGCGAGCCTTGTGACCAGAGATGGCCCTGCGTACACTAGTATTGCTCAAATTCAGCGTCGCAGCCGGGCGTAAGGCGATGATGCGAGGTACGATGAGAAGCCACAAGTGGGGCAGGGTCGCACCAAGCTTATGTGTGGTGCTGCACACTACCTAGGTATGATGTCAGAGATTGGCTGTCATTGGAGATCTCACTGGCGGGCCGAGCCTTCCCGTTCATCTACAGCCTCTTACTTCCCGCACGTCTTGACAGTAATGTACGACAAGTTCGCTTTCTCTCGGCCTGTCCGATGAAAATGTCTCAGTATGCTGACGACTTAGTCCTATAATCGAAGGTTGTACCATTTGTAGACATGGTTAAGTCAACTACTGCTGACCTGTTAAGTTTATCAGCTGTACTACATACCATGGAATCAAGGGCATTGGCCAGTTTCGACCATGATCTCGATGACAAGGCAGATATATGCCGAGTTACGGCTTATTCGCAGAAACCCTTCGGGTAATCGCCGTCCAAGTTGCTATACCGGTGAGATTAAGCCCGCCATCTCAGGCCGTCGTATACGACAACTACAAGCAGATCAATTTCCGCCCCATCCTTGTAATCTCTACCCGAAGCGGCTCCAACTGCGGTTCTGCAGATCATTGGCAAGGTTTTGAAACTAGTTCAAGAATTCGATCATACGATTGCATTGACTATGTTCAGCTGTGAGTACAGAAGAGGCCTCCCAATACTTGGGCAGGGTTGACATGGGCATGTAAATGGGGGCCACGATGAGTATATAGAAGGCAGCCTCGATATCATGTATTCCACACAACAGCCGTTTTCAAACACTTGAATACCTTACTACACAAGCCATCATGTTCAAGACTCTCCTGATTTCTGGTCTGATAGCCTCCGGGCTCGCCGCACCCGGCATGATCTTCAACTGTGGCGACAACCTCCAAGGTAAACGTCCCTGGATTCTTGAAAGCGATTTATACTCAACTTAGCTCAGATATCTGCAACAACATGTGCTGGGGCGCTTACTGCACTCGCCCATCGTTCGGAGTAACACTGCACTATGACCGCTATGGTGGTACTGGAAATCGTGACAGTGCTATCGGAAGAGCCCGTCAAAGATCAGCTGGCTGTCTTCCTAGGCCTAACCGTTGCAGCGTAAGTCTCCCTCCACTTCGTTCAAAAGAAGGACTGAACACCCTGACGTCTACGTTGATGTTGGATCACCTACTTTGCGTCTTCTTCATCTTGATGTAGACTCCAGGGTGTTCAGTATTTTCCTTAAATGAACTTTCCAAAGGATTCGCTGACCCACTTATAGACGCGCGGTGGCAATCCACGTGCTGGCGAGAACTGCGACGAATATCCATTCGCCAGTACCTCTGATGCCGATGCGGGTGGTCAAGTCACCAAGTGTGTCATCAACAGGCACAACGATCGTCAGGGTCGTATCATCCAACAATACACCACCGGCACATGCAACAGCCAGCCCTGCCAGTTCATCGTGGGCTTCGGTAATCCGGCCGCAAATGGAGTGCAATACTGTCAAGCTCACAACGATCCTCATGGTCAGTGTATCAATAACCAGACTGCGCAAATCTACAAGAACGGCGCCCCAGATGTGCGTCCAGCAACTAAGAAGCGCTCTGAGCTTGAGCCTATCGCACAGGCCGCGCTATTCCGAATGGCTAGTGGTATGGAAGTGTTGTTGCGTAAGTCTTGTTCTTATCCCCCTTGGCTAACTAGTGCTAATATTCCTCTAGCAATCGATACTGTACTCAACAGCACCTGGGTCCACCCCACCCCCCGCAACATGACTATGAAA